CAGAGAACACACACAGGAGAGAAGCCCTATGAATGCACCGAATGGGGAAAAGCCTTTTGCCAGAAACCACACCTTATCAACCATCAGCAAACACACATAGGAGAAAAGCCCTATGACTGTAACCAATGTGGAAAAATGTTCTGTGTGAAGTCAAACCTCACTGAACATCAGAGAACTCACACAGGGCAGAAGCCCTATGAATGGGAAATCCTTCTGCCCCAGGTCAGCCCTCACTGTCCATCAGGGAACACACACAGGAGAGAAATCCTTTGTATGTCATGAATGTGGAAAATTCATCTGTGTGAAGTCACATCTCATTGTCCATCGAAGAACTCACACGGGAGACAAACCCTATAAATGTAGTGAATGTGGGAAAACCTTCTGTGAAAAATCAGCTCTCACTGAACATCAGAGAATTCACACAAGGCTGGAAGGTCTTTCCACATCCCGAATGTTAAAAGGCTTCATATACCTGTCAAATTTTTGTTCATCTTTTAAAAATTAGAGAAAGCAAAGAATGTCAGAAATTACTAGAAAATGACTTCTTTTCACGTTTGAATACGTGAAAGCATTCAAGGAAAAACTTTTTCATTAGGAAATTTGTACTGAGGGGAATTCTGTGTAAGTAATGCAGCAAAAACCTTTATCTAAAATTTATGTTGTTTAGTGTTGCATTCCAAATGTAATACCTACATTTTATTGTAAATATAATGGACAATATTCATTTACTCATCTCCACAGTAGAATCTGAAGCATATAAAGGTTGAATGACACAGCATTAAACACGTATGTGGGCCCGGCACGTTGGCTCATGCCTGTAATCCCAGCACTCAGGGAGGCCGAGGCGGGTGGATCACCTGAGGTCAGGAATTCAAGACCAGCCTGACCAACATGGCAAAACCTCGTTTCTACTAAAAGTACAAAAATTAGCCAGACATGGTGACTTGCGCCTGTAATCCCAGCTACTCAGGAGGCAGAGGCAGGAGAAGCTTGAACCCGGGAGGCAGAGCTTGCAGTGAGCCGAGATCGCGCCACTGCACTCCAGCCCAGGTGACAAGAGTGAGACTCCTCTCAAAAAAATAAAAAAAATGAAAGTAAATATATATATATATATATGTGAAAACTCCCTGATGTTTGTAGACCTTATGAGTATGCTAATGTAGCAAATTTGGGTATGTTTCATTTCAACCCAACATGGTTGTCAGGAGGAAATATGTACCCTTAGGTTAGTAACTATTATGGTACGTGTTAACATTTTCCACATGAAATACCACTGGTATCTTTATAGGTTGATATAATTATATGTGTGTATGTACTTATGTATGTGTATACATATGGGCGTATATATGTAAATATATTTGTATACACATAAATATACGGATGTGCTAACATCATCTCATATTGACTTAAAAGTGCTGCCGACTGCTAAATTTTTAGGAATTTTGTGAGCCAGTTATTAAACACAGTCATTATTTAAAATATATAAACTTACTATTAAATTACATTAAAAACAAAGGTAATAAATACCCAACACTCATCACTTCTAATTAGGCTGCTACATTTCGCTATGATCTTTGTTGCTTAGGTTACTTACATTGTTGACTCTGTATGGTGAAAATACTATCCACATCTACTGCTACTGCACGTCTCTTCCCGACTCCACATTCAGTACTATCTTGTTGGTAGGTTAGACATAGTGGGAGTATTTACACCATCAAAATCGGCAAACTACAAGTCAAGGTTTTTATTTTCTTCACAGAACCTGCTGTCAAATATTTACCAGCATACTATCATGTATATATGAAAACATATTTCATAGTACAAACCACATACCCCTTCTTCTGTTTCCTGATATAAGCAAATGCCTATCATCATTACTGCTGAACTGCCTCTTCAATAAAGGAGCCAAAAAATGTCTTTGTGAGGTTTTAAACTACCTCTGAGTCAGTCCTATTCTAAATACTATCAGACTCGCTCTACAGGTTGGCCAGTGTAAGTTTTTTTGTTTGTTTTGTTTCTCTGTGTTTTTTTGAGACGGAGTCTCGCTCTGTCACCCAGGCTGGAGTACAGTGGCGCAATCTTGGCTCACTGCAAGCTCCGTCTCCCGGGTTCATACCATTCTTCTGCCTCAGCCTCCCGAATAGCTGGGACTACAGGCACGTGTCACCACGCCCAGCTCATTTTTTGTATTTTTAGTAGAGACGGGGTTTCACCATGTTAGCCAGGATGGTCTTGATCTCCTGACCTTGTGATCTGCCTGCCTTGGCCTTCCAAAGTGCTGGGATTCAGTATAAGTTTTAAGTGAGATATGATTTCACAAGGAACTACATTACATACCTTGCCTCTGACTGTTTCCTGATATATGTGAATAGGTATGGCTGTGTTTACTAACCTAGCACTTCAGTAAAGAAGTGTGAAACTGTATTTTTCTGAGGTTTTTCAGCTACCTCTGGGTCAGTCAGTAATGTAAATGCTGTTAATAAGGATGGTATTTACATAAATTATGCAAAGGTTAACATCCATTGTAATACAGTAGTACTCACTGCACTCTACAAATGAAAAGTGGTGGTATGTTAAAAAAAGAAAGAAAGAAAGAAAGAAACCCTACAATAGTCTTTAACATCCTATTCAAAATAAACAGGCACCATGAATTGAATTTGTCAAAATAAAACCATACCAAAGTTAGCATTTAGTTCAAGATTCCAAGTTGTCATCATGTTCTCATTCAATAAAATTGACCATTCCAACATTTTCTGTTTGTGCTATCAGCACTGAAAACGCACATCCACCGTGTTGACAGCAGCCAGCAGAGTGACTCACGTGGAGGCATCGCAGGCTGCATTGAGCTGACAGCTTGTCAAACCAATGAATGGGCAGGGATGATGTCAGAAGACCTTTCTGTCATTGCTGCCTGCAGCTGGTCCTTATTATAAGGAATGCCTGGTATGCTGTGAAAAACCGGAAAAAGAATATCTTACCTGTTCTTAACCTGTATGGAAGCCAAATCTCTTAAGGAGTACTGGCCTGAGGGCAGCATGTTCACACACTATTTCTATCATTTTTTTTCCCACCTGCTATTGCAGAAACCTTGACTTTCTCCACCTTCAAAATCCCCCCAGCAGTTTCTGGGAGTCCCCTGAAGATACGTGGCATGGACTTATGGGACTGTCCTCTCAGCTCCCCGGGCACATGCCATGTTTTTCCTCTACAGCCCTGGATTCCTAGGAAGAACTATAGCAAAAGCTTCTTATGCCCATGAAGGTGCACCAAACAGATTGCAAAGATCTGATTGACCCACACAAGGTTCCATAAAGCCACTACACAACAGACCTCCTGCCATTGTGGGTGCCACTGCCACCCGTGGCTGCTGCCATCCATGCCATAAGCCCAAAGTGGCACCAAAGCCACTCCATCTTCTCTGTCACTAGGCAGAGCCTTCTGCGCCTCCTAGGGTGGCAAGCTGCAATGCAGTTCCCAATACTCATGTGCCTTGGGCCCCTGGAGTCTCTATAGATTCCAGAGAACCTGCTCTTCATTGAGATGCACAGGCACTTGTGTGTAAGCTCAGGTCTAGATTAAAGCCTATGGTAAAAATGGCTTCAACTCTGAGAAAACTGACTTTTCACAGATTCAAAGCCACAACCACTCAGAGGAAAAGCCGTACAGGCTGGCCCACAAAGTTGGCCACTTAATTTATAACACTTACGTCAACGGAGGCAGGAGAGTTGATTTTTTAAGTGAAGGGCTATCAACGTTGCGGGACAGAACACAGTGGTGTTTCAAAACGGAAAGAACTCTTAAGGGAACCCTGTCCTTGGTACTTCTGCCCCATGTGGCTACCCCCGCTGCCCATCCTCTGGGCATCTCCCATGACCACAAAACAGGGTACACAAATTCCTGCAGCCCAAGCATCCTGCCCTGGTTTATCTGGCCCCAGATATCTCACTTTACCTCCTCCTGGGACCCCAAGTTCTAACAATCTCCCTCAATTTTATCTGAACTATCACTATACCTGACAAAACCAAGACCCTCCTCATGACATATTATACAGTAGGTAATATGATGTATTATGTTGGTCAACTTGAGAAAAAGCAATTTAATTCTGTATTACACACACATGCCGACCACCTACTAAGTGACAAGCAGAAAACTGACAGAGATGAGTCAGACTGACTTCACAGACTTTACTGTCTATTCTGAAAGGGCAGTGTAACATATAGCATTGAGGGGACAAACTAGGGAGAAGCTGGGTTCCTCCACTTAATTGACTTTATAACCCTTTGACAAATGAATTAACTTCCTTGTACGTTTACTCATCCTGAAAATGGAGTTAAGAAGAGAATCTAATGCTTGGTATTTCTGTGAAGAAGTAACAAGTCAATATACATAAAGCACTCAGAAAGTGCCTAACACTGTTAGTACTTAAAATAATTATTAGTGGAGACAGATGTGGATATCACTGCCTGTGGTATAATAAAATAAAATATTTGGCAGTGATTTAAAAGTACAACGATACACAAATAGATACATAACTTCTACAAACTTGCTTGAGCCGAAGCTATGTCCGTCACTAAGATTCAAATATATATTCACCCATATATATTTACTGACTACCCACAAGCTTTCAGATACTGAGCTGGACCTGGAAGACAGAGGGATGCAAAGGGTTCATAGAGATTCAGCCCTGCTCTGGAAACCCTGGCTGTAGTCAGAGGCTTGGTCTGGGGAATTAGAGACACGGGTCTGCCAGATGTTTATTTGTGTGGAGAACTAAAGTATCTCTTTGGTTAAAAAAAAAAAAAACAGTTCGTCCTACAGCATTAATCATTCACCAGGTGAGGCATGGGTTATCAGTCCATCTGTGGTTTGGTTATTCTCCAGCCAACTGTGGCCAAATGGGCGGGATCACGTGGTACAAAACAGGCGCTGCCTCCTTCCCAGGGCTGTCGGCAGGGCTCTCCTCTGGGAAGGGAGGTAGACTGGGCCCACTGTTTAATACCAGCAGGCAGGTATGAAAGATCACTCGGGCTTGCAGGGCAATGTGGCAGAGTTCCTGGGGAACAGAGTGGTCATTCACGCCAGTCTAAATACGACAGAATAGATGGAGTAATTGATTGGTCGTTTTTGTAACACTGTGTCTTCTGACCTCTTTATGTCCTTTAATTTCTACTGTTGCTTAGGTTCATTCATACGTTACACCTTGAGGGAAGGTCAGAATAAGCTCACAACCTTTCTCATCTCCCAAAATATCCTTCCACACTTCCCGCTCCCAAGAAAAAGGTATTCTTTTGACTTCCCCATTTCTGTCCACATCACTGTCTGTACTCTACGTCACACATTCTTGAAAACTTCGGGCTCCCTTTGACACCACTGTTTTTCTTGTCCCTTCTATTAGGTCAATTGCTAGTCCTTTTGGGAGGGGGTCCAGAGTAGTCAGAGGGACTTGGCTTTTGGAGTCCTCCACAGCTGGGTACAAAGTCCAGCTCTACCACTCACAAAACATGTGATCTTCAACGGGGTATTGTATTGATCTGAGTCTCAGTTTCATGATCAGTAAAATAAGATTAACCATACCTACCTTATTCTATCACCGTGGGTTAAATAAATAAAATACTGTAAGGAAAGCCCCAAGCACAAGGCTGCATATAGTGAACTCTCAGTAACCATGAGCTTTTATTTTTTACCTCTGACAGGTGTTTCACATCCATTGTCTCATTTCTCCGACACACCCTAGAGTGACAATAACAACCTCTATCTTCCATTGTTTTCCTCCCCAACCCATTGTATGCCCACCTGTCAGAAAGCTCTTCCTAGGAACAGTTCCAATGCCTTCATTGAGTAGATTGGAAATCTTTAATGACTCCTCCAATGCCAACCCAATAAAGAAAATATGGACCCTTCAGCTTGGCATTTCATTTTTCAGATTAGCTCCCCCTCCTCCCTTTCTGTGAAAGTCTCTGACCTACTCAAACTGGATGTGTCATCAATTCCCCCCAAAACTCTCCATGTCTGTGCTTTTCTTTACACGGTTCTCTCCACCTAGAAGGCACTAGCCCCCTCCTTCCTTCCTATCCACATTCTACCCATCCTTCCATGTTCAATTTTATTTTGGTTCACCCATGATGTTTTTCCAAATCACCAGTTGAAATCAACTTTCTTTCTGAATTTCCACAAGATGTTTTAGCACCTCTCATAGGGTATAGGTCACCTTCTATATTACAGTAGCATTATCAACATAACAGCCTCAGTTCTTTCATGATACAAAGCAGAACATAAATATATTCAAGTCCTAGATGTGGCCTAAGGCAATAAAATGGCTGAGACTTACAAGAACCTTTTCCTTCGTAGCTTATAGATAAAATACCGTGTTTGGGATCATAAGACCCCACCATCGTGGCTACAAATAATTAAATAGGGCTTTGTGCCTGAGGCAAAGACACCTACTTTATAGGTAGGTTCTCCTTCTAGAAAAGTCTGAATTTGAGCCATATCAAAAGAGAGTAGTTGGAAGAACTAGAATTTGAAAGACGCTAAGAAGCCACATGAGACACCAGTAAATAGACACCTTGAGGCAGAAGCTGGAAGTGAGCAAGACCAAGAGGTCGAGCAGAAAGTAGAGAGAGTGGAAAATCAGCAGCAGTAGTAGACGTAGACTCCGTCTCTCAAAAGCAACGACAAAAGCAAAGGCACCAGAAAGCCAACAACAAAACTTGTTACTGAGACCTAGAATCATGTAATGCCCTGAATAACCTTCCAGATCTCTACCGGGCAGGCTTTTCAACTGATGTTGACTTTCTGTGCTTTTTAAATAGCTAAGAACCACTACAGTAAACATCCACCACCTTGGGCAAACAAATCTTTGTTCTGAACAGTCTAGAAGAGCCTCCTATAGAACACCCAGACATGAAATCGTTCTCTCAGTACCTCTATTTTTCTCTTGAGAGACAAATTTAGTCCTCTCTGCCTTGGCCCATAGCCTGTTAGTGAAATGCATACATTCTCATGACCTTTCATACTGTCCAAACAGCAAATATCCTGGTAAATTTCTGAGACCTGTTTGCCTTCATCCTAACCTTGGCACCATATTGCTCAATATCATATTGTTTCAAAGTTCTGGCTTATCTCATGTTTCCTAATGGCCATATGTCAGCTTCATAACCTAGTAGGTTACTCAAGACCATTATCTCAAATTATTATTATTATTATTTTTTGCACACTGGAAAATAAGCAATATCCCAACTGTATAGATGAGACCATTGAGGCATGGACAGGATGAAGCCTGGCAAGAGTACTGTGGTTTAGAAGCAAAAATGTAAATTAGAATTCCTGAGATGCCCCAGCTATTCTTATCTAGCCCTATGTGATTAAACCAAGATGAATGGACATACATTTTTCAAAAGAAGGAAGGAAGGAAGGAAGGAAGGAAGGAAGGAAGGAAGGAAGGAAGGAGAGAGATGTAGGGGGGAAGGGAGAGGAAGAGGTAGAGGGACAGGGAGAGGAAGAGGGAGAGGGAGAGGGAGGGGCAGAGGAAGAAGCAGAGGGAGAGGTAGAGGGAGAGGGAAAAACTGTCTACCATTCTCAAAGGTGGGTAGTAACTGAAGCAGCAATTTAGCAAAATGACTGATTTCCTCCAAGGAGTCCTTTCAAATTTTTCAGAAAATGATAGATTCCAAGCATTCACCTGATGTATCAAGCTCCATGGGCAGAAGCAAATATTTAATCTCATAATGGAAAGGATCTGAAGCCAGTGGGCTGTCCTGTTTTTTCACCTCTGAATTTTAACTTTTCAACAAATTATCTCTATTCAAGTGCTCCTGTGTGGGTTCTCAATAACTTGAGAGCCAAACAGGCAGAGACAAGTTTGTGCCCAAATAATTAAAAGCCTCGAATGGAAGCATCTGGCAGAAGAGATTTGATCCTCAAAAAAATCATA